ACAACTTCCAATTCACCAACAAATGAAATATGTAAATACGTTATTTGAGCAACAAAAATACCTAACCGTGAGATTGAGGATGCTTCGGCGACGATCGAGGAAGTGGAGGCGATCGAGGAAGCAACGACGATCACAGAAGCAGCGATGCACAGGCCGACAACAACGTGTTGGTCCGACGTCAACGAAGGGGGTGCTTGGATAAATAGTTTTTAGCTTATTATCTTATTGCTTATTTGCTTATTGCGGTGGGAATAAGCATTTTTTTTTAAATGTGTTTGAATTAGCTTATTACGATGAGAATAAACAATAAGCAATAAGCATTTAAGTGTTTGGCAAAATAAAACAGCTTATATGAGTAAAATGACCAATAAGCAATAAGCAATAAGGAATAAGCATTCCCCCCCTTGCTTATTAAAATCAACTTATTTGGCTTATTCCCACCGCAATAAGATGATTTTTAAAGACTCCTATCGAAACACTTACTCCTCATTCCCGAGTTTAACAAAACAAAAGAAAAGAAGAGAAAAGAAAGTCACGAGAGAAAAGAAGAGAAAGGAAAGGAAAACAAAATTTTCTTTTGTGTTTCTGAGTTGGAGAGAAGTGGAAGGAAAATGAATCATTTTCTTCTTTCTTTCCAAATCCTCCCAAATCGGAGGGAAAGTTAGGAGAGAGAATGATCCTCTCATTTCCCTCCACTTCCTTCCATTTTCCTTCTTTAATGAAACTCAGGAACACCAATTTCTTTTATTTTCTTCTCATTTCCACTCATTTCCTTTCCTTTCTCTTGTTAAATTGAACTCGGAAACAAGGTGTTAAATTTGCTTATTGCGGTGGGATTAAGCAATAAGCAATAAGCAGACTATTTTTTCCCTATCCAAACACCCCCCGAAGAGAGGGTGGTGATGGTGCGTTCAGAATACGCCGCAAGAATATGATGCAGACTCTTTAACGTCGAAAGTAGATCGAACCATTGAAATTGGAAATTATTAAAGGTCAAATAACATTTTAGATCGTTAGCAGAGGTAAAGAAGTAAGAGAATTTATTTAAAGGTCAAGGTGGGTCTTCAATTATAAAATGAATATCCTAAAGGGTTTAGGGAGGATAAACATCTACTATAATAAATAAAGGTTTTTTTTTATTATATGTCCTCTTCTCCTTAATTTAAACACATGACATTTTCTAGAATTTTTAAAATTTCTATTTTTCATTTTATTGTATTTTTCATTATATTAAATTAAAATTTCACATTTAATATGTAAGGTAATATATACGTAAGGTATTTAATAGAAAATGTTTTTATATATAGTGTATTCAATACATTAAAGTCTCATTAATTTTAATAAAATTAAAAAAATTTATCATTTTTTTTATAAATTCAAACTTTTTAAATTGTTAAAATTTCATAGTTAATTTTTTTAAATAAATTCATATAATAAATGGGTCTCACACCTATGGAATAAATGATATTCATTATTCTGTTCATACACATTTTATTCCGAGTTTGAAAAACTTAGCTAGAAGCCATTAATAAGCACTTCATAATCAATATCGGGCTCTTCTTCCTTAGACTACGTAGAGGAAAATGAATTGGGCTTCATTTCCACGTGGGATCCATTTCTCTTCACAATGGAAAATTGTTCTTTCAAGAGATGATGGTTCATCGTAATTTCAGAAACTTGGATTGAAATTTTTGTTAATATTATAATTTAAATTTTTAGTTATTATAAGAATTATCTATATCATATTTTTAATAAAAAAAGAATTTAGTGGTATATAAAGTTAATCATACCACTAATAACTATGAAATTTAATGATACAAAAGATTAAGTATCATGTATTGATTTTTTAGTGGTATATATATAATTAGTACCACTAAAAACCATGATATAATTGCACATTAACCATATGCCACTAAAAATATGTGCTACTATATACCATTTTATTTGTAGTGACACCCTTTCAAAACAATTTATTTATATATTATGAATCATTTAAAAAATTATATATATATATATACATATATATATATATATATATATATATATTAAAGTTTTCTTTAATTTTAAGAGGTATCATTCTTAAAGCATTATGTACAAATTATTTATGCTAATACCACTCAATAAGGAAAACCAATTAAACTTTAGAGTAAATTACACGAATGGTCCCTATGGTTAGGGGTAATTTGTACGCTTAGTCTCTAACTTATTTTTTTAACTCCAAAGGTACTTACTGTTTGTTTTTGTTACGCGCTTGGTTCATACTATTTGTTTTTATTATGCGTTTGGTCCCTATTTTACCTAAAGGTACTATTTTTTAAATAGAGAAAAATGATGTGGTGGATAAGGTAAGATGAAGGGGATGGGTTTGGGGGTGTATTTAGTTAAATAAATTAAAAAATCAAGGGTAAAATAGTCTTTTTAGGTATGACGGGGACCAAGCGCGTAACAAAAAGAAACAGTAAGGACCTTCCGAGTTAGAAAAATAAGATAGGGACCAAACGTACAAATTACCCCAAACCATAGGGACCATTCATGTAATTTACTCTAAACTTTATCAATGAAAGTCAATTAAAATAAATTTATTCATTTAAGTATTTTTGTAATCAACGGTTATTATTTATATATAAAGAAACTATTAATCATTATAAAAAACGTAATCTATCAATTTGGAAGGTGATAAATCATAATTAATTAATTATATTTAAAGAAACTATTATTTTTTTATTTTTTTATTATTTTTTTTATTAAATTTTTTTTTTCTAAACGATAGTTATTAAGTAATTGATGGTTGCATTATAATTTTTATTAAGATCTTTTTAGAGTTATGAGTCGCATTGTAAGCAACTTTTGACATTAAATTAATCAGATTGTTGTTCCTTTTTCGTGTACTAATATTATGTTACCATATTTTACATGAGTTGAACGTATCAAGATTAGAAAATGCCTCTATTGTTTGAATGATTGTTTATGCTAGATTATCAATTCCACTATGATTCTTATAATATCGATAGGAAACACATTTTATATGATCGTAAAATATTTAAGTGTTAATAGCATGTCTGCTTTTAAATAAGTAAATGTTTAAATATTTATATTTATTAATTTTGTTTTTCGACTTTAGTATTTCCAGTTTCATATTTTATTTTAAATAAGTAAATGTTTAAAAATATTTATATTCATTAATTTTGTTTCTTGACTTTAGTATTTCAAGTTTCATATTTGATTTTAAAGTTACACTGTCTGTCATTGACTAAATTTATCAATTATGCCTTAAAATTTCTTATTACCACCATGAACCAATCTTACTTTTAATTTAATCAATGTACCAAATTGTAGTAACTACTTAGTCGTAAGTTCGATTACTTAATTTATAATGTTTAACATATTTAATTTCAATGTTTTAAATATTTTTGTAATTTTATTTCTATTTTGGGTTCATAGAATTAATCTTTAATTTTTAATTAACTTTGACATATTTATTTAAATTTAATCTCTAATATGAAATGATAAATTTGTGATGACTTTAGGGTTTTTAGTGTGGTGTCGGCATGTCGTGCCCCACGTGGTTGCTGACACGATTATGGAGGGAAAATGGGAAATGGAGGGAAAGAAGATGATTAGTGGAGATTGATGGAGTTTGGAGAGAAAATCCGTATTTCCGTGCTAATTTAGAAAGGAAACAAATAAGGAAGAATATGAATCTCCCTTTCTAATAAATAAGTAGGATAAATCTCCTACTGATACGTGGCAACCTCTAAAACCTCCTAATCAATTATACATGCCATGTGTCACCTTTAAAAATTTAAATTTAAATTTAAATTTAATTCATTTCAAAATTTCAATTCAATTTTCAATTTCCTTTTATTCATCTTACCACATTTACTGATATTGAATTTTAGATTCTACTTATAATAATATTATTACTTTAATGCTTAAAGCCCGTTATACTTCATCTGGTTGTTATGCTTACCAATGCTAATATTTAATAAGCAAAGTAGCCAATCATTTCAGGAACATGTGTTCTTCTACATTTACTATTATTCTACAAGAACATATTAGCAAATTATCCTATAACATACCTAATATATTGCTGAAAATACAAAAACTTCAACCATGGAAAATCATGTTAGGTTGCTGATAAAACTGATGAACGATGAACATTACGAACCATACAATCGTATGTCATTTCTATCTCAATATAATCCCTGTCATTAATAATTTTTTAATGAAAATTAATAACTGACATTTTTTCATAAACCTAAGACTCATGCCTTTGTTATTTTAAATGAGAATACAAATGTAATAACAATAAATATTATATGGTTAGCGTTAAAATTATATCTCATTGACATTAAAATTAAAGTGAACATGAATTTGTCAAGATATATTTTCTCGTCTGTTTCTTCTTCCCACTGATAAAAGAGGAAACATTGATCCATTAGTGGTATAAAAACAAATCAATGATTTGATTAACAAAAATTATAGGAAATCGGTTCCAAGATGAAGTAGAGATTGAAGAAGGAACAAATGACAAATAAAAGGTAAAAGGTTTCCTAATTTCTTGCTGATTTTGTTTACTAATAATGTTGATTTCTTGCATACTAATCAACATACATTTAGGAATATGTATATTAAATTAAATGAAAAATTGGATACCTTCCATATTACCACAAAAATCGATTTTAATACATTTGTTTTTTTTTTTTTTTAAATTATCTTATTAGATTTTTTATTTTATTTAAAGCTTTGTTTGAAATCATTTTGTTTCACTATTAATATTAATATGAATTGAATACCTACTATATTAACATTACAGTATATTAGGAATTATGAATTATGAATATGAATGGGAATATATATTAGGAATATGTATATTAAATTTAATGCAAAAATGAATGATTTCCATCTCACCACTGTTATATAAATTATAATATAGAGACCGATTTCAACACCTTTGTTTTTTTTCTCTCTCTGCATTCTTTTTCTCCTCCTGCAATTTCATGGCTGCCAGTGATTTTACTCTCATACGAGATCTCGATGTCTTGAAGGACATTTTCACAATGAAGCTTCGTGTTATCAGATTATGGACACTTGATAGTTACTACAACAAAAATGAACTTTTCTCTATTGAACTTATTCTAATGGATGAAGAGGTATATTTCATATTTTTTTATTTATATATTTACTGTTTTTAGTAATCTTTATTTTTTTTATTAATTGTATTTGCACCACACTTTTTCTTCCTTTAGGGTAACAAGATCCAAGGCTATGTCCATAAAGCTTACATTTACAAGTTCAAACAACTTCAAAACGAAGGTGAAGCTTTTATCATCAAATCTCCAAATTTAGCAAAGATGCAGGAAGGAAGATTTCAACTTACCAATCAGCTACAAAAGCTTGCTTTGAATCTGAACAGTACTGTTACTCCATGTGACAATTTTTCTGGATCAGTAAATGACTTTGATTTTGTTGAATATCGGGCGATTATCAATGGCACTGTTCCAGAAAATATGTCATTGGGTTAGTATTTTCTAGACAAAACTTCAAAACTGGTCCCTGTGGTTTTCGAAAATATCAAGTTTAGTCCCTAAGTTCAAAAAACCTCACAAATGGTCCCTATGGTTTCAAAACTTTTAACAAATGGTCCTTTTCATTAACTTCGTTAGCTTTTGGCCGTTAAGTGGAGGGTATTTATATCATTTCACTGCCACAGGGACCATTTATGAAGATTTGCCTTTTTTTTATAAAAAAAAATATATAGTTATTTAATATTAAAGGGTCCTACACACACACTCACTCACTCACACACACACACACACACTCTCTCTCTATCTCTATCTCTATCTCTATCTCTATCTCTCTTTCCACACACACACACACTCTCTCTCTGTCTCTATCTCTATCTCTCTCTCTCTTAAGGTGAAGAAAACTTAATCACCACCACCATTGGAAATATACAAAACCACCACCTGAAATCAACGAAATCAGGGATGTTCGCTTTCGTCTTCGTTGTGCTGGTAACAAAATCAGGGATGTTCGCTTTCGTCTTTGTTGTGCTGGAAACTCGATTAAAGCATCCATTCTGAAACCATTGACTTTTGGGATTTTTATTGATTCAATTCAAGTGGGATCGATTTGGGATTTTTCTGAAGCCTAAACCTTCAAAGACAAAGGACCTGTAAAAAATCTTGGCGATCCGAATCCATTTGGAGTTGGACCGGCTGAAAACTGAGAATTCCGGGTCTTGATCCCAAAATTCCTTCAGAACCATCTTTCTCAGATGGGTGTTTTTTTTCAACGACCTTTGTGGATTTTTTTTGGGTTTTTACTAAATCCAAATGGGTTGCCGGGAAAATTGCTTAATTGTTTGTTGGTGTCAAGAATGGAGGTCGGTGAAAGATTTTTAGGCAAGAATCCAGCATTGAAGAACCTTGGAGAACCAAGAAAATATGAAATAGATCGGGTCGGCTTCTGTGGAGTAGGGGGTGAAAGAGACGAAGCTTGGTGATCCGCCATGATCGGTGATTGTTTTGTTACAGCTCTGGATCTGTTCCTGAGCATCACTAACATGGAAACTAAAATCTCCTAATAGAATAAAGAGAAAAATAAAGCTGTTGATTATTCGTAGTTTTCTTCGTGGTTTATTGGGGATTAGGTCGATGATTAAAGCTGTTGATCAGATGCATATACTGATTGAAGAATTTTGGTGGAGGCGGATGAGTTACGGTATGCGAGAGTTAGGGTTTAGATGGAGATATTTTGATTTAGGGGTGGATAATGTAAAGACTTTTCCTTTGCAATTTTGACTGATATTTTGATCTATCGCCAGCCAACATTATACCCAATAAATAAATAAAATATTGGGACAACATTTGTAAATAAAAAATATATTAATATATTTTAATATCATGGAAAAACCCTCCATAGATATGACCCACAAAACTCAAAATCTTACCGCCGACGTACCATTTTTGTCATCTATAATTTAAAAACACATATAAAACTATTGAATTTTCATATATTGAACAATAAAACTGTAACGTCCGTGTTTCTGGGCTAACAACATTAATAAAGTTGTAATAGCCTAGGTCAACCTTTGTAACTCATTTTGAAGTAATAAAGATGAATTTTATGTGAATTATATGCTTATTTGCTTAATTATTATGATTTAATTAATTAATAATGAAAATAAGCCTTTAAAATAAATATTAGAAAAATCCGATATCTTTTAAGAAAGTTTTAGTGGCCGAAACAAGGATTCTGGAGATATAAAGAACGCCGAAATCCGAGTTATAATGAAGAAGTTATGACCTGTCGAACTTTCGCGAGAAAACCGACACGGCACCGGGAAGCGTAAAAAGTGAATATTGCGATAAAGTGAATTTTAGCCTTAACAATCTGAACTAAAGTTGTAGTATTCGTTAAACCGAGAAGTTCGATAAAAAGAACGCCCAAATCAGACTTCGTATGAGGAAGTTATGATTTTTCTAAGTTTTAGCTTAGCAGTAGACAGCTAAATACTCGAATTTAAGATCGAGCGAAATTTAGCCGACACAACCTAAACAAGAATCGAAGGTCTCGTCAATAGTAGTACAACGGTAAAAAGACTGATGAAAACGGACGTCGGATGAAGAAGTTATGAATTTTTAACGGATTTTTCTGTCCCGGTCTGTTAAAAATAATAATATTAAAATTAAACTCAAAATTAGCTGACGAAGTCTAAACGAAAGTTATAGAGCATGATTTTAGCTACACGTGCATATAAAGAACGTCAAAAATGGAGTCCGTATGAGAAAGTTATGGATTTTAGATGTTTTTGGCACCTTTTTCGATAATATTCGCATGGATCGAAGCTGGCCACGTCACCCTTCTCGCGAATCTGACCCGTGTGCGAAGCTACTGCATCACCGAGTCCTGGCCAGTCCGAGGTCCGACGCGTGTTGCTTCCGGATTCGACCAGCCTCGCATTCTATCCTCTTCCGATGCGCCTCGCCCCGTGTCGCATAACCGAGCCTCGCTGTTGTCATGTGGCCTTCGCACCTGCTGCCACCTGCTCGCTCCGCATGCGAGCCACGCCTCCCTATGGATCCGAGCCATGCAGCCACTACGTGGAGCTTCCCTAGCCAAGCACCCCTCGGACTCGCACCCTATAAATAAGAGGGATGCGAGATTTGCCGACTAGAATAGCAAAGTTGGCGTTTTTCACCCCTCTCTCCATATTCTGACTATTTTGACTTTTCTAGAAGCCCCGGTATCATTTTCAAAGCCCGGAATACATCCCGAAGTGCCCGAAGACCCAGAAAATTTTAACTTTTCGGTTTTGAAGCTCAAACCTCTCAGAGCGCGGTTTCTCAATAAAACTCCCGGTTTTATCAGATACGATCATTTTAAGGAACGAATTGCTGTCCGATTATCATCAAATCAAGTGAGTGTATAGTCACTTTCATCTTACACATAGATATGAAGTATTTTCTATAAAATATGTGTTATGTGTAATTATATTGATTGTTTATTTGAGATGATTGTTGAATACAATGTGTATACAAGTTATAAACTGTATATGTATTTTATCTACAAATATGTTGGGTAGAACGTGGGTAGACAAAATAGTTGATGTGTGTTAAAATGATGAGAGGCATCGATGTTGTTATTGTTCCAGTCATCTAGCGGAGTATGGATGACGACCACGGACTCTTCTAGACAGTCCAGTGGAACGCTAGCAGGCTCGCAACCTGTAGGTGTTGTGAACGATGTGTTCACCGCTGTACACCATCCCCCTCATGGTTGCCTTTAGAACCTTTATTGTTGAGGAACCCCCTTAGCAGTAGTGTCCATCCCGATGATAAAATCCTTAGACTAGGTCCCTTGTATAGGTGTTTAGGGACGTAAAGTGAGGATAACGGGAATGGGTAATCAGGGTTATTGTTGGTTGATGAACTTAATAAATTTATTGTCGATCGATGAAATTAATAAATTTATTATTATTTGTGGGTTGAAAACCCTATATGCTCACCAGGCTCCCAAGCCTGACCCATTCAGCTTTCTATTTTACAGGTAGTGGACTCAGAGCATAATTATGATGATGATGAGGGAATTTTGTATTATAGGCCATTAGTTGTAAATAACTGTTGTAAGGCTTATAATGTACTGTTTATACTTATGTACTGTATCGAACATGAAATCCCAAGTCTTTTAATGAAATACATTTATAAGGAAATGCTTTTGATAAATCTTTATCATATTATTGTTTTGGGACAAATTCCGCAATTCTTTTATTAAAAGGTTACTCTGATTTTGAAATAAAGTATAAACAAAAACCGGTCTTTTCTGGCCGTGAAATTGGGGATGTCACAGTTGGTATCAGAGCATTAGTTTAAGCGAATTAGGAATTTATAGGATTTCTAGATTTAAACTTAGAATGCTAAGCGATGATTGTGAGGTGTGAGCACTAGTATATTTTAGGGAAGATGCCTAAAATGCTTTTATGTGCTAAATGTTATGTGTTTGCTATACATGATATTTTTGTTCGGATCTATGGTCTGTTGCCGACCGGATCTGGAAAACCTTGTGTGTGTAGGATTCTAAGCATATGATTACGATATTAGAACTAGCATGTAAACGTTTCGGAGTCTATCGTGAATAAAGATTTAAATTCACCTTATTCGGTGTATAGATCAAGATGGCAAGGACCCGTAGTAGAAACGTAAATGCAAATGGGGATAGGAACCAACCCCCAGTGGTTCAGCAAATACCTGTTGTTGAAGAAGTTGCACCTGAGCCACTCACTATGGCTGGAGTTCAAGGCATAATTCAGGCTATGCTAGTTGAACAAAGGGAAGAAATGAGACGGATTCTCCACGAGAATAGGGACGAATCTACCATACATGTTGAACCGATGGAGCCAGTTCCCAAGCAATCTGAGGAAGGGAACTATAGCCGCCAAGTGAGTCAAATAGGGACTCAAGGTGAGCAAAGGGATGGCCCAGAAGGGAGAAACAACAAGGATGGGCGGATGTACAAAAATTTCTTGGGTGCGAAACCACCAAGTCTCTCAGGAAGCCCAAAGCCTGTTGAGATCATGGACTGGATTTACGAGATGGAAATGGTGTTTGAAAGTTGCGACTGCAGTGAGAAGCAGAAGACTGTCTTCGTTGTGAGACAATTGAAAACTGGATTCTTGAGCTGGTGGAAGCTATTGGCAGATACAATTCCACGAGGAGAAGCTCTGAAAATGTCGTGGGATGAGTTCTTGGAACAACTGAAGGCGCAGTACTGTTCAGAGATATATCTGATTGATCTGAACAATGAGTTCCAAAATTTGAAAAAAGGGAAAATGAGCATCGATGACTATGCTGTTGCATTCACGGAAAATATGAAGTTGTTTCCATACCTAGTGCCAACCGAACTTTCCAAAATTGAGAAGTTCGCAAACGGACTGCCGGCTGACTTTGGCCCAACAGTCAAGATGGCAACCACTCTGAAATTAGCCGTTCGAGAAGCTAAGAATGTGGAGACCCAACAAAAG